GTCGCGAGGCTGATCGAGCTAATCGATCGATAACAGCATCACTGGCAGACAGACTTCAGCCAGGATTATTTCTGACCCATTAGGTACAGTCTAACTGCTTAACTCTATAGTCATAGCTCCTGACAGCAGAAACATTTCTGGATAGGGTCTGTTTTATTAGACTTGCGGTCTGCGAATGATGCAGGCAGACAATTTTCTAGGATGGAATCTTTCGCTTTCTCTCTATTTTGCCCCAATTCTGCAGGCTGTTTTACCATAGTGTTATTCTGGGATTTAATTGTTTTCTGTCCTCTTCTCCTAGGCTAGAGGCCAGGCATATCCTGCCTCTTCTTGTTGCTATGGGGTGGCTTTCACTGGGAAGGGGCATCACGATTTTACTTTTGTTCAATCTCTCTCTCTCCCACACACTCTCTCAAAGGAGTTTGGGATTGATTCCCCAACCTCCTTTGTCCCAAATCGTAAGTGCCTAAGATATTTCGCAAATTTCTCCAAGGTTTCTCAATTCAATTCAAAACTTCTCTTTTTTGTTAGCTGTACTCTTCAATTGGTAAGTAGGAAGGAGAGAAAATACGACCCTTTTCTTCAATTTACTACTTTTACATTTCATTTGACTGAGTTGTCACCTTAATTTATTGTCCAAAAATACTTATTCCATGTCCTTACCATCAGTACCCATCTGTCCATTCTCAACTTCCTTATTCCCAAACAATACTTGTGCAGCCTTTAGTAGGACTTCTCACAAGATTTTTGAACCTGAACATTCGGCGCTCGTCATAACGAAGTACGTTTTAACGAAATGCTGAGTAAACAGCAGATACTATTACTACACTGAAGGGAAGAGTTCTACTCGTGCCCTACGTGGATGTACGGAGTAGAGAGGAAGAGTCCCCCAGTTCCCACGCTGAGTAGTCGTAGATGGTCACTTTCCCTTTCACACCCTCACCCTTCTCTGTCGGCAAGGCGTCTCGAGCCTCCGACCGGTCAACACAGTGGACATGCAGTGCGTCCCGAACCTCCAGTTGGACAAGACAGTGGACACTCGGTCTGTGCCGAGCCGGCAGCCGGTCAACTCAATGGACAAGGTGTGTGCCTCGAACCGTAAGCCGGACAGAACTGTGGACTGTAGTGAGGCCGTTTCGAGCCGACGGCCAGACCGGACCACGGTCGGCGGACAAAAGCCAACGGATTCGACCGTCAACGAATCTGGACGAATTGTGCGCGAATGTGAGACTGTTTCTCCCTTATGTTTCTTCCTCCATACTTTCCCCGTTGATTGTCCAATAAATCATGCACAGTTGTTAACGTCGATTTAAGGACGTACCTTCCTTCTCAACTTGGAATCAGCAGATCGAGAGATGAAGACGCTTCTGCGTTGCTCAATTGCCATTCAAAGAGCACACAACCTTTTTTATTATTAATCGACCACCTCGAACCTGATCCCCGTATGTAGCGAGCATTCTTGCCACATATTCTATGACCCCCTGTGGTTCGCTACAAGAGCAAATGTGGCAACTGTACTATTGTCTCGTATTAGCTGGATATGTTAAAAATGGAGCAAATTTGAGCTAAAAGTAAGACAGCAGGAGCTGATAAAAAAGAGTAACAGCCTGAGCCATTTCCTGCTGAGCTTTACCTTCATGATTTGAAGCAAAATGGAGAGGAAGGTCTATTTCTTCCAAACCTCTAGTTTTGACCTCTTCACTTTTCATAGTTTTTTTTCCCCCCCTTGTTTTCGTTCATCGGAATCCAGCAATCCGTCTGGCTAGGTTCAAAACCAAAATCATGAGAGCCATCCAGAGCAATCTGAAGAACAGCAACTTTGGCTGATACTCCATTACTTAATATTCCAAGGGACAATTACAGCATTGCACTCAATAGATGATACGATAGGACCTGAGAGTAATTCTGATAATCAAAAGTTAGATATAAAAATTGTGTATCAGATGTTGACTTTGTCCAGCTCTTTAGTCCCTATTTTCAGTTGGAATGAAAAATGACACAGCAGAAGAGTAATAGTTTTGAATCCTTGCCACTATGAGGTAAACACATTTCTATTCGAAAATTGAGAAACTCGAAGTATGTTATACATAGAATATATCACACAATAGAGATAGGCGTGTACATAAAATGAGAAAAATATACATAAAATGAGAAAACTGTATCTCATGTACTTTTTAAAAGAGGAAGCCATATTACTATTACCCCATTATGATTTTTACCCCATCTCACTCTACCATTTTTGGAAGAAGTTTCTTAGTTGTTTCATTCATCGTCACTAACCACATAAACCCCTGCAAGCAATTGTATTAATCCTAAAGCGAAAAAACTTTCAAAATAAATTGTAAGAGTATTAAATTAGAGTGAACTTTCACACAAGAATGCACCTTAGATTAAATAAAATAAAATATAAAGGCAGTGAATTGATGGAGAAAGCTCTTATCATGAATTCTAATTTACCTCATGCATATTGTGATCATGTCTGTACTTACGATACAACTATCCTATTGATCTGCATTCCCTGTACATAAAAACTATTCCATCACAAGATTGGATAAGTCATGGAGAGTAAGTCAAATGGAAACTACAGCCATGAGGGCTATGAGAGGAAAGTTACTGGGTGACCCATTTGTAAAGAAAAAGATGAATGGCAGTTTTCTGGAAAAGCTAATAGAATGAACTTGGGAGATGAACTATTGGGTACATGTATTATTTGTGTCTGGTGGTTAAAGCTTTAGGCAGTAAGGGCATCATTGTCACTTCTTATGGATATCATGTGACCAATCAATGATAAAAATGGGAGCTGTGTCCCATGGGGCATCCTATTGGAGTAATCACCATATTATCACTCCAGGACTATAGCTGTATTATTGAAGAAATTCTGAGACATATTGTTTGCAGATCTTCAAGCAGCTACCACCTAGCATGAATTGTGCTCTAGAGGAGCTCTGCACACTTGGGATGGAAATTCAGATGCTCTTGCTCCAGGACCAATGTCCCAAAGGGTGGACAATAGTGAAACATAGCAGTGAAAACAGGGAGATGTGCTACACCATGGAGGAAATGCTAGCTGATCCATACCTTGGTATGATCAGTGTCTGCATTGGTGGATTGGAGTGACATGGTGAGATCCCTGCTACTTTTGTTATTGGTAAAACTAAACATGCATCCAGTACTCTATTACCCAAATTTGTGTTCATTCCATTCAATAGTTTTCACAGGAGACTGCGATTCAATGGTCATCTTCAGGAAAAGGTAACCTTGTATAAGAGAGGGAATGGAAGCTTTGGCAAAATCCCAGTGAAATGATGAGGCTACCAGCATGAAGGTGAGTGAAGTGATCCAGGCAATGATGCAATACATTCAATCATTCAAGATGCTTTCTGTCAATGGTTGCACTAGTAGAAACAGATATTGCTACAGATATATCAAGACCAGCAGCTTCATAGCTGTTTATCCTCTTTGACTTCTGAATGGATCATGTGTTCAAAAAACATTCTTAAGTTACAGAGTGCTTGGGTCCCCCTGCACAAAGAAGCAGCAAGTTGAGAAAAACTTAGTTAACCACTGAGACCCAGTTTATGAAGGCAGGGCCACACCAGGAATCAATCAATAGATAATGCATGGTAATACCTTCAGGTGTAAGAAGAGCCAGGGTTAATCCTCTGTTCATCTATTGGCCATAAATATTCATTCATAACTGCATCTATATACATACCCTCTAAACTTTTATGTTTCCACTTCTTATGAACTGAAATCTCCCATGGCATCGTCTTAATCTTAAGAAAGGAAAGGTCATAGTGTTATTATGCATTTTTCAGATATGGCTATCCAAAATACTTTGGAAGAATCAATTATCAATGAGCTCAAAATGAAATGCAGAGTAGTAACTCCTTTGCTAGGGCCCTACTGTGATCAGAGGCATCCAAATTGGACAAGTTATGAGGTCACACAACTTGCCCTTCCCCAATTTCATTTTCCCTTTGCTAGGCTTGGGTGGTCAAGGATTTGCTGCTAAATTAAAATATGAAGGTCTGTAGACACCAAGGGGAAAAATAAAAGAAGATGGATAGAGCTAATGCTTATTAAATTCCTTCAAAATTAATTCTCCTCAGTTACAATGAAGAGTCAATAGCCAATATCCTAAAATGTCTGCAACAATACTTTTGCCATTGTTGCTCAAAATATCAATGGCAAAAAATATCACTAGAAGACTAGTTTAATAAGCATTAGTTCTATCTATACTCTTTTTTTGAAGACTTCAAATAGTCATAAATCTAAAAACGGCGACCATGACATGGATTTTGAAATTAATCTCAATGCATACTGGAATAATATTGAACTCCTGTATGATTATTTTTCTATCTTGCTAGAGCATATCATGTGGCACACCATGTTCACAATTGAATTCACCCCATTAGTCCTGGGGAATTAACACAATCAGCAGAGGGTTTAGATATAACCTTAATTTTTCTCATTAATCATTCATTATTAAAAGCTTGAATCTGAAGTGCACTATAGAAAAGCAAAGATGAGTGCATAGTTAGGGGCATACATGGAAAAAAGCGGATTTAGTAAATTTGCTGATTCAATCAAGAACCAAGAAACCTCATGCATGGAGGAGATGATATACCTTTGGATTGGACAGCATGTGGATGCAGAGCAATCTTGGTTAGGTGGACAGTCAAGAACACAGTTGGAGCTCTCTGATACCCCATCTGCATACTATAGGAATCATCCCACCATGAAAACAGAACAAATAAGCCCTTGGCATGAAGGACCCAGTTGGCACATTGTAGAAATACATAACACTACATGAAGTGCTCCATAAAAGCAACTAAAGATAAGTCAAAATAACCACCAGCTTACCTCAAGAAACTCAGGTTGGATGGCAGTTGAGTGAATGCCTTGATTATGGAAGATTTCTTTGACTTTCTTGGCAATTTCAATGTAGTCGTGAAGATTCTGACAGCAGATGTGAGCAGATGCAATGATGCGATTACCTGTTAATTGCCAGACATGGAACTCGTGCACTGCAAGCTACCCATTCACTTCTGCAAGTAGCTGCTGCTTGATTCTGTCCATATCAATGTGAGTTGGCACCGTCTGTAGCAAGATCATTGCACTTTCCACCACTGTGAGGGAGCAGAAAAGCAAGGCTATGGTCTTGGATATCAAATTACAAGAACAGGTAATGAGAAAGAAAATCAGGAAACTCACACAAAGGCCAAACAGATTTCATAATGAGGATGACCATCAATATACTAAGAGCAGGGTCAAGATAAAAGCGATACTTCCAATCTGTCTGCCAAATGATGGCAGCAGAAACTATAACTATCACTGAGCCAAGAGCATCAGCAAAGACATGGAGAAACACTCCTCTCATATTCATTTGAGATGCAGATGTCTTGCTATACTTATCACTTTCCTCCTGCTTGCACTGATCTTTCAGGCTCTCATCCATGTGGGCATGACCCTGAGCATGCTGGTGTCCTATATGATCATGTCCATGATCTAATGGGAAGAAAAAGTGGATGAATAAAGCCCATGAACATTCTTTTCATTCATGTGCATTTCCAAAAACATTTCCTCATAGCCCTTCCTCAACTGCAGTATGTACATGCACTTCTAATGGAAAAAACCTTGCAGTGCCTCTTCTGATGGTACCATTAAGGAACATATGTCTAAATGTTAAACTTCAACCTGGCAGATTCTTTTACCATAAAAAGGTGGAGGATGGGAGGCAGCCAGAATACCTCAATTGGGAATAGTTCTCAATTGTCATTGTGAGTGAAGGAAAGATCATGCAAATGCAAGTTTTGAAAAATATGGCAAGACACCAAATGGGTTATAACAGTCTTTCTCATCTGCTAAATACTTCATAATACCTTAGGCATTCTTCAAAACTGCATGTACTGCCTGAAAAACCCTGAACATTTTTTTTCATAACTTTACATCTGGCTGGCAAAAGTCCATCTCAGTGGGCTATAAATGTGCAAAACCCAGCTGGTACAAGAAGAGGTCAGTCCAGAGGATAAAATTTGATGAAAAAGATATTCTATATGGTCTGGATGACGTGCAAGCAAAGGCATTTCTTTCACTCAGTCACCAGCACCCACATATTCATTTTCAATGACACCTTCAGAATAAATCCATATAGCCTTACACCAGCTCAATGAAAGTGTGTGAGACTCCCAAGTATATGGTAGGAACATAGCCTATCCAGCATGTAAGCCTCATGAAAAGAGTTCCATGAAGAGCAGAGATTTACCAGTTAATAGCAGGGATTTCTTCTTGCCATCCTCTGAGCTGGTTTTGAGCAACAACTGTACGGCTTTTCTTATACACTGATTTCGGATTGAATTGGTACCCCCCCTAGGAGCTCTTCCATCAAGTACAGGCAGGACATCTTGTGGATAGAAGGTGAAGTATTGATAGAACCATCCAACAGCCATGTGGAGCATCAGGCTTGACATCTAGAGGATTGTCTGGAAAGTTTGTGTTTTCTACATTCTCTACAGTAGGGGGGTACCAATTCAATCTGAAAACAGTGTACAGTGATTTGCAGATGAATTTGTACTACCTTTAACATGGGTTCAAGCTTTTCTATGGAGGAATCCTCCTAATCTGGATTGCAGCACTTTCATTGCAGCACCTGGGCAACATCCAATTCATGTACATTTGAATTATAGTGGATTGGAGAACATTGAGGCCAAGAATAAAGTATAAAACAATTTGATTTTGTCTTTTGCAAGGAGAATGATGGGTTTCAATAACAAGAGGCTTACAAGAGGGTCCAGGAAGACATGGAATGAGAAATTGCACCAGGGAAATTTCAAGAGAAAGAGTCAAGTATTGACTCCTCCCTTCATAGACGGGAAGAAGTATACAGAAGTGAAAAATAAGGAAGGATAGCTATGGAACAATGTCTGAGGCTTTAGATCATGTATTCCATCATAACTACATATTGTTAGGCATTCTGCTCAATATAAAAAAAATTAGATCATATATGTTAATGGCCTTAGCTATCTTCAAATACACAGCCCAACATAGTTTTGAAGGTTGAGTATTTAACATCTAGGGCTTGGGACATCAGAGTGCATGACTGCCCAACCTGGTGCTTGGTAACTATCCTATGTCACAATGACTTGTGTATCCTTTCATACAGACTGTGCAACATCATCTTAGCAGTACAACAGCTCCCAAAAGACTGATAGATTGATGCCATGTGGTGCTATGAACCAGGATGGAGACATCTATCCTCCAGAATGAAAATAATAGTTGAACCTCCTCTGCCACCATTTTGGATGGTCCATTCAGTTATCATGTTCAATATTATAGGTGGTATGAATTCATTTGCAAAACATTGTAGCCATGTATTCAGTTCTAGAAAAGGTACATTATTTTGTCACACACTGTATTATAAACAGTGTTGGGCATGTTAATTTTGAAAAGTAACTGAGTTAGTTACAATTACAAGTATGTCATCCAAAAAGTAATTAGTTAACAGTAGAATTACTTCTCACCAAAAGTAACTAGTTACAAGTAGAAGTTACTTTTCCTGAACAAAAATTCCGGTCTTTCTACAGCTTCTCCACTTCTTCAACAGAAGCTGGATGAAAGGACTAAAAGTGAAAGTTACCCCTGATTTTGCGAAAATTGAATTATAATCATCACTTAATGGGATAAATACTCATGCTCACTCTTTTCCTGTGCCTCTTCCCTTTCTATGGGCTACTTAACAGGAATTATACGCCGATAGACAGAATGCACCCTTTAGTTTAAAAAAAGCCAATTTTGCCATTGGTGATGGGGAGACCTACCCCAGCCTGCCCCTTATCATGAGTTCCAGATAGAAAAATAGAACAAACCAAAGTCACGTTCTCTTGTTTTCCCTTAACCAGACATGGACTGCATGAATCCAGCTCATACAGTGATGGAAAAAGAATTTTCACTAACTTTTTACAATGTAATGGTATTTTTCATGGCGCAATCAAGGAGATGAGGGTGTTTCAACCATGAAATATGGGGAATTGGGACTGAGGTGTTCGTGTTAAAAGTAGTACATATTCACTTGCAAATCACTCTTTATTGGGTTAGGCTCTCCTCGAAGAGCAAGTGCTAGGCCTGAGTATTAACGGAGTCTAACTAATGATGGATTGTTGGAGAGATGTGCCAATGATAAGCATACGAAAGGTTTTCGTGCAGATGCACTTTCAGAACCAAAGCAACGCCTATCATTCAGATCTAACGTTAGACCAAAGGTTGTCTGTATGGAGTCAGGACACGATGGAACTCATCTAGACATTCTTTCTCAAGTTAGATGCTGGAGTTCGTGCAACGGAAAGTACCTTGGCCATCAGTAAACATAGAGCAAAGTACCTTGGCCATCAGTAAACATAGAGCAAAGTACCTTGGCCATCAGTAAACATAGAGCAAAGTACCTTGGCCATCAGTAAACATAGAGCACTTCACACAAAAGTTTGTATCGATGCAGTGGCGTATTTTGACTGAAGGGTCGGGGTGGGGGGCAGGGCAATAGAGTGAAACCCCATCTGAGAGATATCAGGAGAGAAAAGTATTACCTCTAAGGTGGGGCTAGACTCTGTCCCAGAGGCGCCTGGGGGCGACTACCCCCCGTAAAATACGCCACTGCATCGATGGAACTCTGTATTCGTTTCTGACCTGCACATCGAAATATGTTTGCAGGTACAGCCAAGAAACCTGCACTGAATAAACCATGTTTTCTCAAGGCAATTTCATGTCCCCGTCTTTCCTCCCAATTAGGATGCATGTGGCCATGAAGCACTGGTTGTTTTCAGCTAATTTAGTAAATCATCAAGAAAAGGAACGCGTTTAAGTAACGCCACATACTTTTCCCATGAAAAAGGAACTAGTTACCGGTTCCGTTACCCTCCCCTGAAAAGTAACTCGTTGCCTCAAAAATTACTGAAAAAAGTAATTAGTTACTGTAACGCGTTACTTTTACTTCGTTACCGCCCAACACTGTCGATACATAACTGTCGCATACATCCGGAGCTTTGCGAATTCTTGCCTACTGTACCTATCGAAAACGACTCAAAAGTTGACTCGGAAAATCATCACCACGCACAAACAAAATAAACAGCATGAAATGTGCAGCAGCCTTGGCACAGATCTGAAATTCAACAGGCCAATATATCACTGTGGGAATCTCCCCCAACAACATAACAGCCACTTTTTCTTGATGAAATTCTCGATATATGAAAACTGTCATTTGTACGCCGTGAACAATCCCAGGGACCGTGAGAAAGTACTTGATGGTGCACCTCCGCATCGCCTGATAATGTTCAGAAATTATGAATTGTAGGATGCCAGATGTGGCATTTCACAAGTTCTATCAGCAACGCTACATATGCTATCAAATAAAAAACAAAACGTATCAAACCGACCGCAGCGACTGCCGTTTTCCCATAGATGACAATGGGAATGACGGACAATTATAAAAGCACACCCAAATACAGAAGAATTGCAGAATGTAAATTAATCGCAGATAAGTGAAACACCAAAAACACCTAAGAGGCTGGGACTATACCAGGGATGCCGAACCCGCAGTGGCAGCATTTGAGGTCCTCGCTCGATTGGTCAGCCACCACTCTGACGAACTAGGCTACGGTCTTTTTCCAAAAGCTTTTAAAGTTTCGGGGGAAAAAAATTTAAAAATGACATCTTATTAAATGATATGTGAAACCTCCCATCGAGAAGCGTGTGTCAAAGATGTACCAACAGCAACAAATTAAAAAAAAATTCCACTACGGCGTGATTAAATGCCATCCAGTGTTAATGTGACCCTGTAACAAAAAATGGTTGTGCATCCTTGGAGTGGAGGAAGAAATTCTGGGATGTATTCCGCAGTCAAAAAAAACTTCGTGAATGGCCTATAAAGGAGATTTTTGCCATGTCGAAACCAGAAAAAGCAGCGAATCATCATGGTGAGGCGGAATAAAAAAAAAACACCAAGGAATATTAAAAAAGAAACAGCGGTAGATATCAAATTTATTTGTCCCTTTGTCCGAGAAGAAAGAACTCGAAAGCAAAGACGAGGGACGAAAGGAGGTAACCCAGGATCAACAAAAGGAATGGACTCTGGAGATGGTCCAGGGACAAGGGCACTGGGCCGAATAGTTTCCCATTATCTCTTATAATATTCAGGGTAGGACTCATGGCCTTCAAATTCTTCCGAGCGCTCTCTTCTAGTGCCCTTCTCCACCATTGCTGGATCAAGCCTGTCTCCGCCATCCTCATCATGTACTAATCGATGGATTTATTTCATCCTTTCCGTTTCTTTCCAGCCACTAGGTTTGCAAACGAATGAGGAAGGGTTGATGGAATAATCCATCCTCCGATCGTATCCGAGAGCGAAGATATTACTTACATCACTGATGAAAGCAAATGACTCGGTAATGAAATCTTCTAGGGGAAGAAGATATCTCCACGCTTCGTCGTAGGGAAATCAAATCATCCGATCAGCCGAAACCTCCAAGTCGTGGTTCTCCGTGTCCCTTAATTGCAGACAGAGTCCTGATCCATAATCAATAGTTCCCCATTCGTAGTCAGAATTCACGAGTTCCTTCAGGGAACCGGGCCTGGGCTCGAATCAAGGAAGAACGAGAAACGAAACCAGACTACTCGTGTACGAAGTCGTTAGGATCATGATGTTAAGCAGGGAGATTCAAGGAGGATTCGACTGCATAGCACGGATTAATCTCGTACAGAATGACTGGATTGTAAAGAGCCGGACGAAGAGAAACATGGCATTCCCAAATCCAATGCTTTCCAAGAGGTGACCTATAATTAGACTTGCCGAGAAGAGGACTCCGAGCATTGTGAGCCACACCGTCCAATTCCAGGGATTCACCACTTTCATCCAGCCGGGGTAAGGCCTCGGAGGTCTGGTGATGAACATCAGACAGTCATCGATGTAGGAGAAGGAATGATCCATGTTTGTATGATGAAACCGTCTCCGACAAAGCGCAATCTCCGAGTATGCCACATGAACCAGTCCATCATCAACCAGACCTCGGAGTCCCGTCCATGTCCCATTCTGACTTAGTTCACCCCATAAGCCATCATTGGGTAAGACGAACTCCACTGAGAAGTTGAGTTTCCGGGAAAGTTCCTTCAGAATGGATCCTTCCAGCCCTCGTAATTCCTCCGGACTCGATGGTGTCTTATTGTTGGCATCCCAGTCGATAAATGGGGGATAACTCAATGTACCCACACGTAGGATGTCTTCATTGTAATCCCATGGAGGTCCACAACCTCTGTGTGAGAGGCACGAGGAATGGGAATCCCTTGCCACGAGCCCTTTCCCCTTACGGAAATGTCCTACTGGAAACCTATAGACTTTCCTATAGGTTTATTAAACACGAAAAACCCATGGGATCTTATAGGATCCCCGTAGGGTCTTATAGGCCTCCTGACCTATAGGATTCGGGGAGATTTTTTGGGTTTCGAAACCCAGGCATTACGACGGAAAAGGCGACCGTGGTTAATATTGGCGCAGCAATTTGGTGTAAATCAAATACCGATTAGGGGCTTTCCCATGGTAGGGACACTTGCATTATTACTACCAGTGCTGCGCGGGTCTGTATAGGGTTAGCTCTCTGAATGCCATCCTCATCTGTCACAATATATATTTAAGAAAAACGTTTCCTCCCGAAATTTGTACCCCCAGGGCATATACCTCCAAAGTCGGATTTTATCTGAACCCTGCATCCCACTTGGTACATGTGTACCAAATTTCAGATTTCTAACCTTTCTAGAACATGGTTAGAATTAGCGACAGTCAGTCACGATCGTCTATACCTAGTATATATTAGGGATTAATTCCAACCCCGAAGGGGTTGGAATTAATTGCCACTTCTCTTCTACACGTGTCTTTTCATCGCTAAAAAAGGAGAATGACAGAAAATTAGGACAGCGACAAATGAGGACAGACTGGCGGCCTTCGTGAAATCTATGGCTTTGCCGCGATTTCGCTGTCAAGAGGGATCAGAGGTCGACCACTTTCCCCAAATCTCCTGAATCCATTTTCGGTAACATCCTTCCGGCCTTCCGACCATTCAGCGTCTGAGTTTACCGTGACGTGGACAGTCATGGAAAAGAGTATAAAAACCCGACTTGGAGGGTGAAGAGGAGGAGGAGGTAGAGGTTGGTGAAGGGTTCCGGACTTCGCGGCTGCTGCTCATCAGGCACCGGGTTAGGGCCCCTGTTGGTAAATCAGAGCCTTGCTATTTCTATTCGGTTGGAGCCTAGGTGCCTAAGCGCTGGTTGTAGCCGGGCTTGGGTGGATCTGGTTGGGGCCAGATTCTGTTCCTTGCTGGTTGGAGCCAGAAGGGACTTATAGAAATAGCAAGGCCGGAATCGGATTGTGGGCATGCGGAGGGTTGGAGCCCGAGCAACCCCTTTCGGTTTCGTTGTTTAGCCGTGATTGAAAAATCACGAGACCTCGCGAAAGTGCTGCATCGAGGGGGTGAGCTGAATCATTTCTTGTTCGTAGAAGTTTTTTTACTTTGTTCATTCACCCTTGAAAGCGAAAGCTATTGCGAAGTTGTGCTGAGGAAGATTTTGTATAAATCCCTTTTTTTATGGTCAATAGAATAGAATAAACAAAATCCTGTGAAAACCCAGTCTGTTGGAATCATTGTCTAACGGCCACTGATTCCGTCCGACCAATAAGAACCATCCCAAAGGGGCAAATTTCTAATATCCTTTTTTTTATTTAAATTTTTTTTCCTGTTTCGCGACGGTCAAGGTAGTTTGCAGGTAGCTATTTAAGTACAGAGACGTACGAGTAATACTACCGGCCACGCCAGACGACCGCGAGCGTTACACGTCTGTCCTGTGTCGTCCGTCTGGTGGGTCCGTCTCGGGGTCTTCTCTCGTCCAACGTCGTGCCTGCTGCTCTCCTCTGTCGTCTAACGCTTTGCCTGCTGTCTCTCCATTTCCATCTGTGATATTTCTTTTCTTTCTTAATTTAACTTTAAATACCTGTTGTCCTTGTTTGAACACCGCTTTATTATTTGTCATCAGTCGTCTCCTCGACGGCTTGTCCTGTCTGTGGTGCGAGGCCGGACCCTTTCCTTTTGCCTCCGATTAACCGCTCGTGCTAAATTATCTTTCTCTTGTTTTCGGCCTAAAATTAACGTTAAAAGTCCCATTTTGAAGCCCCTCCACACGACATATAGGTCCCAAACTGAACCCTATGGGGCCAATAGGAACCTATAGGATTCCTTTATATTCCTTTAGGAATATATAGGAATCCTATAAGACATTTTCGTAAGGGTCATGAGCAAATAGGAGAAAGCCTTCCCATATTCCATCACTGGTCCGGAAAACGGAGAATATGGATGGAGACCTAACTTTATGGAGGTAGAATGACGACTGGAGGGAAATAAGCCTGCGCCAGTCTATTGCGATATCTTGTTTAAATGTTGACATTCTTAAAACGACAATGAGGGTCCTTTTGACGTACTCCTTCCCCTTTCAAAATGTGTGAAATAATGATGAGATTGATTGATCCGAACGCCAGATCCCGTCCATCCTTTTGGAGTATGCCTTTCAGAAGAAAGGGGTTTCATATGATCTTTCTGAAGGAAGAACGTGGACACGACCCTATAGGTTCCTTATCCGTAAGTGCCCGTAATTGTGGAATGCGATGGCACTTTGATTTGTCAGAAGATAAACTTTCTGGGTTCATTATGACCTACGTTCTTCTCCAAAAACCATAGATAAACAATTACAACAGATCTTTTGAGGCATTAAAAAAAAGTCTTGCTATATTGCAAGATAATCTCTCCAGCGAGAGTTGTCCCTTTACCCGATGCAATCGGACCGAATCCCGGATAAATTTTTATAGATGACAGAGTTTTTGAGCATCCGTGTATAGATTTCGAAGTTTTAAAGGGGTTTTGGCTATACCTCGAATGAAACACATCGCGAAAAGAAGAATCCAATCACGAAGATCCGTACGATTCCACGGATTTATTAACCTCATCTGGCCGACATGAGGTGAATGAAGTCCGGAGGAGTAATGTAAAGCTTCTTGCGAAGAAGAAACCGGTGAAGCCCGATACTGCCACACGGATGCATCCACCAGGAACGAGGCCCAGGAGTCGCCGTCCACACCCCATTCCGTGCCTTCGTTGCAATCGACAAGTCTGGAGCATCTTTATCTACTTATTGCAATTGTTGATGGTGGGAGTCCACATCCCGAGATCATTGTAGAAAGAGCAGCTTCATGTCTAAAAACAAATTAGATTAACGCGATCTTGACTTTTATTTGGTTAGATAGGAAGCTTCGAAGCAAAACTTCGCGTGGATATGTGAAAGAGGACGGGACAAAGCACATGACAAGATGTGTTTTTCCCCTTTTTTCCCTATGTGATGTGTGGAACTGTTCCCAGGCAGCACGCCCACGTTAGACATTTAGTGGAATTCCATACATCTAGTATTTGCCCGCACTCCATCATACACAGCCAAGGTGGGCCAGGGCTCCCTGTGCTGCTTTGATTGCTGATTCATAGGTACGTATCCAGTACAAAAAGGTGCATTCGTCCAGATCTCTATGAATTCTGACTTACTGTACAGATTGAAAATGCCTGAAAATTTGACTCGGGAAAGCATCACCATGCACAAACAAAAGAAACAGTATCAAATGAGTAGCAGCGCTGGGGCACATTTGCCATTCCACTGGTCACTGTATCACAGGGGTTATCTCCAGCAACATCGTAACTAAACCAAATTTTCTTGATAAAGTTCTCAAAAAAATGATAGCTGCAATTCGTACGTCGTGAAGAATCCCAGGGACCACGAGAAAGTGCTTGATGATGCACTTCCGCACCGCCTGGAAATGTAAGGAAATAATTAAGTGTAGGATGCCAAATGTGGCATTTCACGAGTTCGATCAGCAACACTGCTTATGCTATCACGTAAAAAAAAAAAACTTTAACAAACCGCCCGCAGCGACTGCCGTTTTCTGATAAATCACAATAGGAATGACAGACTTCCTTTTAAACTCCTGAGCATATTCCTTTCTTTTTCTTTTTGTTTTAGTTTAAAAAAAAGTTGTTTCTCTCAGAGGGTGGCTGGAAATAGTTCCTCAGACCACTCTCTTCCTTCACCATCCCATGCTGGAACGAATTTTCCCATTTGCACAAAGTTGCACGAAAATCGTGACAACTCGCCCTCTCCCCCCATTTTGATTTCGGCGGAGTGGCTGCAGTCGAAAATCGGTTTTGACTCGGTGCCATCCCTCCCCATTTCATCTGATCATTTCACTATCAGAGCAATAGGGAAGAAAACCAAGTGCTCGTGACTCATGAGAACAAGTATGAGAGATAAAGGAGATCAGTGACGGTGGGCAAATGGACAAATGGAGAGGGGGAGGCAAATTCCAGCTGCCTCCTTAATTCCATCCCTTGACTTTCCTGTCCATTCAGACCCCATTTCATTAGAATTCGGGTATAAATTAAGTTTCATCGTTCCCTTATGCATGAAATACAAGAAAAATAACAGGGGTAAACAATTTGGGCGCTAACGGCTTGTTTCATGAAAACAAATCGGGAACACCATAATTATCCGCAGGATCTTAAGTCGAGGCTTACGAGGTGAGTCCGAATTCTTCTTAGGAAAAATGGTATCCAAGCTCCCCTTGGATAAGATAAGATAGGAGGTCAATGTCAGAGATCAACGAGGGTTATTGCTTCTCGGAGAATTGTGATCCAGTCGAGCTGCCAATCTTGGATGTTGCATGTGGGGGTCACTCACAGCCCACTGGGTTTCGGTGGTCGAGTGGTTCTGGATTCCGGACGACACCCGGGAGGCAGGGGATGGAGTGGTGGCGGCGGGCCCTTCCTCTGCAGACATGCAAGGAGTGCCTTTCATGGGAAGTGTCTGCTTAGTGTGAGATAATTTATTGCTCAGTGTGAGATAGCTTATTGTGAGACTCACACACCACTCTTATGTGTCAGATCTTGGATTTACGGGTGCAGTACGCCTTAAAAATCACTCGTTCGAGTCATGGGCTTAGGGGGCTAAGGGGAATGGGAATAACAGCACGAGCATCTCCTTCCTCTCTGTGTATAGGTCCGTTGTCGTTTGTCCCCTTCATGTCCTGTTGTAAAAAAAAAATAAAGGGAACAAAAAGACACAGCCCCTGTGAATCCTGGATCACCTGCGGCAGGATGTTCTCTCTTTTGCATTTCGCATTCATCTCTTTAGTGTTCGGGTCCAGACTGCAGGTTTGTCAGGGTATGTTCGAAATTCACATGTCATAATAAGAGTGAAAGAGGAGGATATCCGTATGACAGGCAGGGGCCGAATCAGATTTCTGCAGTCTGGATGAGGGGTGTCGTGATAACATGATGGAAGAAAGTTGCAACCTGGAGATTCCCATATTGAAACTCTACCGAAGACGACAGGACTGCACGTACGTCAATCACAAGTTCTTCTTTTGCATGGCATTAATGGAATGGAATCGAAAGGAATATAGACGTTAACGTCATTTTCTGGTGTTATATGGATGAAGGGCAACGATATGTTCCCATGTAAGAAGTAAACGGATGGTGGGAGGGGAAGATGCGGAGCCAGGAAAATATCCCTGGATGGCTGCCATTCTCCGAAAATCTTCCACCAATGGGCCTTTCTGTGGAGGATCTCTCATATCTCCCATCCACGTCCTCACCGCTGCTCACTGCGTCACCAAGTTCTAAATCACCCTCACTCCCGTGTCCTTTACACAATTGTGCTGATATTGTGTTGTTCTCGACAGGATTCGTCAGGCTCCTAAAGACTCCTATCGGGTCCGGATTGGGGAACATGACTTTGAGAGGGAGTCAGAGTCCGATCACCAGGATTTCTCCATTCAACGAGTCCATGTTCATCCCGATTACAGTAACACCATCAAAGCTTACTACAATGACCTGGCTATCCTCGAACTGGATAGTTCTTGTATGAGAAAGCCTCGGACTGTCTGTCTCCCCAATGAACCCGGAGACTTCCGGAATCACGATGCAACCGTCATAGGTCAGCAAGTAAACTAAGTTGCAGAATTAAATGTAGGACGAACATGTAAAACATGAAAGGAAAGGAAAATCTTTACACGTGATGCAGGCTGGGGGGCGTCTTATCTTGGGGGGCCGCACCAACCCATCCTCCAGCAGGTACTTGTCAACATTTATCCGCAAGAGGAGTGCGAAAGTCTTTACGAGGGAATCACGAATACTCATCTGTGTGCAGGTGACCACGTGAACGGGGGGAAGGACGCGTGCAAGGTACTACAGACATTCGAGGATCATATTCCGGTCGTTTCGATAACCAAGTTTTGAATTTGAAAAATTGTATGTCTTGGGCTATCCAGTGGGATTCTGGAGGACCCCTACACGTCCTCCAGGGAAGGAAATGGGTCCAAGTGGGAATCGTGTCTTATGGGATCAACTGTAGTGGACCCCCAACGCAACCTGGTGTCTACATGAATGTCTCCTCTCACTTACCCTGGATTGCTGGTGTCCTTAAAGAGTACAGACTCAATGGTACGAATCCATTGATTTTGTTGATAGCTGTCCCCGTCAATTATTATAATGATGCTCATGATCATCATGATGGTGGCCTCTCCGCAGATGAAAGGTGCGGAGAATCTCTGAAGGAGGATCCGAGAATGTTTGAGAACTGCAGGGATAGAGCGTCATCTAATAACAAGCTGGCATTTTCAATACAAACGCTCGTTCTTTTGGGCTTGATCGCAGTTATATGCTGCCGCTTCATGAAACGTTGCATGTCTATAGTGCTCTCAAGCATAACAGTTTGACATCGGGTTATTAATTCAGGAAGGATAAATTAAAACTTCCCTCACGCTTGTAAGTCTATGTGCCTTTTGTCTCCTCACAAATGTCAAGATCGGGACATTTTCTCAAATGAGCGTTTCTCATATAGCTTGCCGAAGAAGGCAGAGGTATAATCCCGGAATTTATTTTAATGGAGAATCCATCATCTTTCTAAATTCCGAAATTAGTGCTCTTTAAATGGCTTATGGAGGTGGATTATTGGATTACAAAAACATCTTATTAGTTATATATCTTTGCACCACACATTTAGTACGTAGTGTATGTAGAGTAGCTTCAGCATCAATAGGCTTTGGTAGCGCCTATTACCATTCTCCAACCCCTTCCAGTCACAGATTTCAAACTCCTCGTATTCATCTCTGAAACCATCAACAGGAGCTCAACACAGAATCACTCCAACAAATTTGAAGCTCCATCTCCCAGGGGTTGTGGAGGACACTGAATCCTCCTTTTTGAAGATGTGAATTTTATTCCGTCTCCCCCCCCCCTCCCCCGCTCCGCGATAGCCACTCCTGGGGGTTTTCTGAGGAAAGAGACCGACCATAAGAAATATATAAAGACTCGTAGATGAAAAGTGCTTTTTTTGTTGCTTGTGATGCACCATTTCGCCATAAAAAAGTGAAATTACCTGTCATTCAATTAAGCTCAGAGAGCTGGCTCCGGTCCCGTCTCCCAGTGTTGCCGGATGTCGTGCCGAAATTATGCTAGAATCAAGACTACTTCAACCTTTGTATCGACGTCTGGTTCTTCTGTTTTTTTTTATGCATGATGATATATTGATGATATGCATGTTATATTTTTTTGCTAAGTTCATGGGATTAGGAGAGAATGAAGTGGTTGTTGTTAGAAGTGATTGATGTGGTGGGATACGGAGATATCTTATCGGACATCCCTGAGTTAACAGAATGGCGCGCACAATGGATTGCATGCTTCTTGAAAGCACTCTCTCCTCAGACCTATTCGAGATAGTTCGAGGAACTCCAGATAGGTCTAACGTTCCCCGTCCCACTGAAATGGTTCATGAAACGCGAAACAGGTCTCCACTCGGTCTAAAGTTATACGTCCTCTCTGAAATGTTTTGTGAAAGTATGAAAAGGCCTGCATTGGGCTAACGTTACATGCCCTCAACGAGATGACGAAGTCCACAGATTCACCCTTATAGGGCTAATTGGCCTCGTACGAAGAGAATTGAGTTTCTTTTTAAAGAAAAAAGGTAGGCCTTGGCGTAATCTGATGGCAGGTGAGGTCTAGGCCTAACGTTAGCGAGTTCCGCGTGATTACCGCAGGTGCGGCTCAGGTCGAGACAGGAATTCTTTACTTGCAGAGTGGTGAACGCGTGGAATGCGTTAGATGACGAAATAGTGGCTGCCCCGCGCTGTGACTATCTTTAAGAAGAAACTAGATGCTTTCATGGACAGGCAAAAAGGTGGGGGGCAATGTTGACGTTAGGTACTAACGTCACCAACACGGTAGTCGCCATGTATCCAAGGTCGCCATCAACATTTCACGACTCCCTCACGGCCTAACCATGGGAGCTTGGAGGCTGCCATGCTCCCGGTGCATGGCATCACGTATATCGTCACTGACTAAAAGGCGGGATCATCCTACTTTGTTGCGTGCAATCCTTATGCCGATCGGAATGAGGCTCGCGCGTTAACAGGCATGCTTCGCGCTCGGCCAGCACAATCTCGTATTCGCGCAACTTTAGTTTCATTCCTCAACCATCGGGTACTGTTTCATGGTATTAGTTCTCCTTTGGCCTAAATTATCACTCTAGCCATGTCAGGAAGGATGAAGTCAGATGTTGAAAGGATAACAGCAATCACGGGGTGGCGACTTCCGATACACTGAAATAGGTCCATGTGGNAAATGTACTACTTCAGCTTTTCCGATTTCTCCTATCTGCTCGGTTAAAAAAAAAATCCCGGACTCGATGGGAGGGTTGAGACAGGGAAAGACATTGAAAATTGATTTTCACATAACTACATGAATCTATTTCTGAAAGACATTCATCTCCCATATGTAATCTTCGAAGTTTCTTCAAATAAAGAGACGGTGGCAGAGCGTTTATAAAATCTAAGAAAATGTGGTTTTGGATATTCCGCTCTCGAAAAATAAGGTCTTAGGACAAAATGATACCAGATCAAAAAGTACCTGTAGCTGAAAGGTACTATGATGGAGTCTGGGGTGGGGCTATGATTCAGGGTGACGTTTATTTCTATTTTGCAAACGCAATCATTCGATGTTAGTAGAAGTTTAAAGAGTGTGCTTTTCCCCTTTACTTTTCCTCCATTGTAATCCTTACGGAGGCTCAAAACCTCCGTGGGTTGCATTCAAAAAATGAATATTCCTTGTCAAGAGTTTTTTCATACGAAGAACGCGCAAAAACTTTCAATATTCCATCGCTGGTCCCTATCGCTGGTCCCTAATGAGGGGAATTTGGAACGAGGAATGAAATTGAGAGAGTGCATCGACATGGCGTTATGGCATTGATGTCAGTCCACGTGTATGTCTTGAGTGAAGAGAATCTCAAGATAATGATGAGGGTGATGGCCACGTCTATTCTTTCCTTTGACGATGTGACAATGTGCATGCGATGGCGGCTTTCTAAAGACTCTTGTTAGAGGACAATAATGCGACGCGATAGTCACCTATCAACAGAACACGGCACTGTTTCAGGACACGATCGAACCGTTTTCTGAACCGAACCGAAGAAAAAATTTATCTCAAATAAAAAAAAGTATTTTCAAACCCACCCCCCTCCCCTCCCCCTCCCTTTCCTACAAAAGAGTCCATTCTGAGAATGTACTTCCCAAGCTGAATTTTTTCTGAAGTCAGTACCTTCACAGCCAAGTCAGTCGCTCACAATCGTTTTTTTGCATTAAATCTTTCCTGTTTTGATCATTTTCGAAATCTTCAGCTGTGTCTCCAAGAGTAACCAAGTAACTACAAGTAACTACACTCATACTCAAAAAGGGCACCACCAAGAAATAGTTGAGCTATCTGGAGGAAGTTTGGTTTGCGAACTCGTAGCAATTGTGATGGAATCGAGTTAAGTTTCAAGGGTGTGGAATGAGAGAAAACTACCAAAACAATTAAGATGGAGGAAAGGGGTAGTACAAACCACCCAAAATCGTTCAACTAGAATAATTTCATTAATGAAAGACAGAACGGTAACTCTTAAAGGTGTGTAAGAATATTCCACAGAAACTTTGAAGGTCATATGACCAAGCAAAGCAGGAAATTCAGTTCCTCGAAGCCCCTTTGCTATTGGGTCATTGTTGAACGACGATGATGCGATGCCGAGAGGAAATCTCTGAATGAAGTTTAAACGAGCTTTTTGATATAGGCGGATGAGTTCAGTAATCCACCGACTGACACGTCCACAGCCCACGATCCGGGAATCCCCAAATAAATAATGTAGGAGTTCATTCCAGAAGCTTCACGAGAACGGAATCTGAATGCAGTACTTCGGTAACCACGCGAAGTACAGTATTTAGGTCCCTCTGTCTACTCCTGCCTCCACTGCTACCTGCAACGAATTGTGAGCGTCGAAAGCAAGAAGATTCGGTCATGGTATCCAGATTTTCCCCTCAAATTTACAGGTATGTATCACATTTCTAACATAAAAGACTCGCGCTCCCAGGACATATTTTGTTTCACAGGTACTCGAGAGGGTCTTCTGTTCGTGAAGTTAAAAAAGTTATTGATTTATTTAATAAATGCGTTTCATCTATTTATTGTCCAACTTATGTCATAATATTTCAGGCAGAAAAAAATGAATGTAATATTAGTATCCTGTGTTTTTGTAGGCGAATGAGAGTCTTCATCCGAGAATCCACTTTAAATTTCGTTACTGGGAGAATTTTTAAATGGAATAAATGACTCGTTTATCATGCTTGAAAGTTTTACATTTGGCGAAGTTGAAATCAGATTTACAGATTAGCGAACGTCGACGAAATCCTCGCACTGGCACACGCAAGACTGTGCTTTAGGAGTTTCGCTTCTTATTTGCAAAAAAAACTCCTTAAAATGGAAAAAAATATCTCATATAAGTATAATGTCATGAGGAAAGAAAGATTCAAGGAAATCCAGGGGGCAATGGGGAAGTAAACAACGCTCACGCGGCTCATTAGGGAATGAGGAAAGTTATGGGAGTTGGAGGAGATCGATGCCTGCAAAACATTTTCAGAAGTTGTGAAGGTAGAGGATTTAAAGAAATCCAATTTCCTCTTTCACAGTTCCCTTCTTCCTGCGACTTTCCCATCTTCAACTTCGTTTCCTGCTTTAAATCATGTTTCATGGCTCTTCTACAAGGTGAGCCATGAATCTCATGGGTGCGACTCGTGAGTGTTGGTCTCCAGACGAGGAGGCCTAAAACTCCAAGAATGTCCATTATTAGAATCTAAACTTCTCATAGGAATCATGCAATTTCGAAACTCCCGACTATGTCCTCCAAGCAGGCTTATCTTCCTTGCAGCCATGGTTCGCAGCACGCGCCTCTTCAATGGAGAAATTCTTCCAAGCTGATCCACAACTTTGCGTTCCTGGGAAGCTTCGATGTGCGAAGGGAACGCGGTCGGTCGGTGTGCTTCCTGTCATTCACGCCACCGGGCCCACGAAAACGCATGAGAGCACGATTAACGAAACCCCCTCGAATCCACTGGACTTGACTTGTCGAAAGGTGCAACCTGGGCTCTGGCAATTCTTGGAAAGCTCGAGCGCAACTGTAGGCTTCAACATTAAGGCATCCTTAACACTAACTGAAAAAAACCCCACAAAATTGATCTTTTGGTCATGTATTTACATACAGGTTGCTAAGAAGACGCGCGTCAAAAATACATTGAGTTGCAAAAATATTGCATAAATCAGCATGCATTAAAAGTTTCATGAGATATAATCGATCGTCCTATATGCACGCTGGAAAGTGAACCAGTACAAGCAAAGCAAAAATAAGATATGATTCCTAGAATCGAATGTCGTCATCACTCATCAGCGTTAAATGCATAAATAACCGCGGTGAATCAGTAAGAGAGTGGTGACCAACCGACGACGGGATGCTCTCTCTCACCAAGTCCATGTTCTTTCTCGCCCTCGTACTTGTGTCCATTCCCCAGGTTCGTCCAGGAAAGCGGATCGTGGGAGGAGCGGATGCGGAAGCGGGAAAATATCCCTGGATGGCTGCCCTAATCCGATATTCTGCCAAAGGGCTTATCTGCGGAGGATCTCTCATATCTCCCATCCACGTCCTCACCGCTGCTCACTGCGTCACCAAGTTCAAAATCACCCTCACTCCCGTGTCCTTAAAATAATTGTGCAGATAGCTAGTGTCGTTCTCGACAGGATTCGTCAGGCTAAAGATTCCTATCGGGTCCGGATCGGAGAACATGACTTTAAGGTGTCAGAGTCCGATCATCAGGATTTCTCCATTCAACGAGTCCATGTTCATCCCGATTACAATCAGTCCACCACCGTTATCTACAATGACCTGGCTATCCTCGAACTGAATAGCTCCTGCATGGAAAAGCCTCAGACCGTCTGTCTCCCCGATGATCCTGGAGACTTTCGGAATCACGAGGCCATCGTCGTCGGTCAGGGAGTTTACAATCAGTTGCAGAATTTAATGTGGGAATGGAGATTTCCTTTTTCTCCACGTTCCACATGTGGGAACATGTGGAACGTGAAGAGAAAGGAAACCTTTGCACGTCATTGAAGGTTGGGGGTCGTCGTATCTTGGAGGGCCGCACCAACCCATCCTCCAGCAGGTACTTGTCAACATTTATCCGCAAGAGGAGTGCGAAAGTCTCTACGAGGGAATTACGAATGCTCATCTATGTGCGGGTGACCACGTGAACGGAGGGAAGGACGCGTGCAAGGTACTACAGACATTCGAGGATCATATTCCAGTCGTTTCGATAACCAAGTTTTGAATTTGAAAAATTGTATGTCTTGGGCTCTCCAGTGGGATTCTGGAGGACCCCTACACGTCCTCCAGGAAAGGAAATGGGTCCAAGTGGGAATCGTGTCTTATGGGATCAGCTGCAGCGGACCCCCAACGCAACCTGGTGTCTACATGAATGTCTCCTCTCACTTGCCCTGGATTGCTGGTATCCTTAAAGAGTACAGACTCAATGGTACGACTTCATTAATTTTGTTGAAAGCTGTCTAGTCATGATCATTATGATGGTGGTCTTTATACAGATGGAAGGTGCGGAGAATCTCTGAAGGAGGACCCGGCAAAGTTTGAGAACTGCCGGGTATCTCTGAGGTCGGAGAATGGAGCGCTTGATAACCGGCTTCCACCATCAACCTTGCTCATTCTCGTTCTTCTCTTTCCGTGTTTTGTCTCTTTCTACCCCTAACTAAACTTCATGAAATAACAGATGAAAGTGGGGAGAATTCCAAAGACATTATGTACAAGAGAAAGATTGTACTGAAAAATTACGAAAGACTGAATTCGAAAGATTGCATCCAATGAAATGCTCAGGTTCATATCTGCAACAGATGTCTACATTTGCACAATGTGTGTTACCCACGGAGACGTGTTTTCTCCCCATAATTTGAGCAGGTCATATACTGTATACTACCCTCTCTCAAGCTCCATAGAGCATTCAACTAAATCACAGTCTAGCTTTTTTTTGGAGGGAAATTCACATAAAAAAGGCTTAACTTCTGATGAAGTACGTCAACTGCAAAACTAATAATCGAGTGAAAAGGAAGCAATCTCATTTGCATAGGCGCTATCTACTGAGTCAACTTGATGTCGTCATTCGTTTCCCTTTCGCGTCAACGGACAAATACAAGACGTGGAAGCCCCAAGTTTATTTCGACGTGATTCTATCAGCTTTCGATTTCTTCACTTTCCTCAATGACCGGACAAAGCCTCCACCTGCCAGGTGGATTTGGAACCAAGCGGATGTCCCCTTAGGCGTATTTCCACCTGTTGGAGCGATGTCCACCCAGCTAAAAAGCCATCTGGCTTGGACATCCACCTGGTTCCAAATCCACCTATCCATTTAGTCGTTTAGCCAGGTGGAATATTTTTTTAAAGGAGAGTGACCAGAAATCCAGAGAAAAATGCAACGTTTACAAAACAAAGAGTTCCTTACAACATAGCATTCAATAATCAATGCTGAGACTTTTTTTTCCCTTTCTTACCCTGTTTCTTGCTTCCTCCGCCTCATAAAACTTGTAATTCTAACATGAATTTACACTAGGCGTCTTCGGTGACTGAATATTTTACCCTATTTGCTTCATCCTTTCCCATTCCTGTCTGCTTGAAAGGTAAATAGAAAAAGGCAATTCAAAAGGTGTTCCTTGGTTAAATTTGAAATGTTCGAAAAAATATGTTCTTAAATCTCACCCACGCTGGACAATTCAGATGCCGCCTTCTGCTAATGTTATGATATTGACATATTTTCAAATCACCGACACAAGTTAAGACTCCTTCGGGTGGTTGAATTCCGGAACGGATAAAAATTTTTCCCCATGAGTTTTTGCTCTATGAATTCATTATGCAATTTGTATGAACTAACTTCTGGAAGACTATCTCCGTCCACCATAAACCCATCTCCCCTTTATTATCGTTCAGATTATTTATTATTATTATTAAAAAATGTACTTACTCATGGGACTGATAAAATCATGTTGTTACCATAAATTACCTAATCTCCCCATTTCTTAAAAAAGAGATCGTAAAAGTGTTTACTTATGAAGAAAGAAACTTATGATGTTTACTTATGTTTGCACGGTCTCCGAGATTGCACAGAATTCACGTACTGATAGGAGCTCGCACGCTATTCTTCTATTTCAGGCGGCGCTGGTTGTGCTCATCAGAGGATTGCGTTCGGTTCTAGTTTGTACTAAGTGGTGTTCGAGAGAATTCAGAGGCGGGGTACTATAAAAATGGAGGGACTGAAATCGGGTAGCGAGGATTCATGGGAGACGATCGCATTGCAAGGAAGCATACGTCATTGTGGGTTTTGATAACGCCGGCAGACATGTTCTTCCGACTTGTTAATAGCAGTATGGGATATCGGTTTCAGTCGTGCAATGACGAAGTAAGCCAAGGAAGAACATTTTCCTCTTTGGGGTGGTGCGAATGCTCTGAATCGGGAGTGCCCGAAGTGCAGCGAAGGAAGTGAACATCCACTTTGGGCTCCCCTTCTCTAGATGCATCGGTTGCTTCTTCTGTGAAGAGCTCTTAGAAGAAAATGGACATTCCTTCAGGGATAAAAAGAAAGAAAGGGGAGCGCTATCACGATTATCCCGGGGGGGTTCGGAGAGAGGGGGGTAAAATCTTGCGCATGTGATGACGTCTGCGAGCCGTTCCACTATAAAAACGGACGCTTTGGCTTTGACGACTCACTACCTCGCTGGTTAAGGCCAAGACAGTTCACGCACACTCTTTCTCTTGCCTCTCAGAGCCATAAAAGAAATGTATCACTAGGATTCAAAAACCCGTCCGCAAAGGTGTATTCACAAATACTTAATTTTGAAATAAGTTATCCAATGCAGTTCATTTCCACCCATTGGTTATTAGGATCTTCATACATTCCAGAACTCTTTTAGACAGGCACCTGAACGGGGGTCGTTAGGAAATGAAGCGAAAAATTTGGGAATAAAGGTGACGGAAAAAGGATTTTCATGACGGTTCCGATCCGATGTGAGATGGCCGGACCTTGAATTCACAAAACCCATCCCAAAAAGAAAGAGATTTTCAGTGTATAGGATATTTTCACAAGTTTCGGATTTCGCGATGTCATGCTCTTGCACGGGTTCCCGTGCCATAGGAGAGCTTCGCTACCCTTTCTACTTACACAGTGTACTCCATATTGCGAACCTTTTCACCCCCAAAACGCGTTTCTGCGCAGATCTAAGAGGGATCTCTCCGACCCCCCTTAATTATCACTCTGAGAGGACATGGATCCAAGAAGATCCCAGACCGTATAGGAAGTGGAATTTCATGTAGAGTAAACTGAACATTAATTGTGACTGGCCGCATCACATTCGCCGAGGAGCAGCTGAAAGGAGGTTCACGGCAGACGAGGCGAACGAGCGCCAGCTCCTGAGCGAGAATCGAATGGATTGCCTTGAGGCTGATGATGTGTCAGTTTCTTTGGAAGCTATCATGCGACAGACAGACGTTAGAATGCAGGCAAACAATGCTTCTCTTCGCTCGTTCCCTCGTCGCAACGGCTCTTGGCGACTTTAGGTGGCTCTGGTACGATTATGGCAATCCTACAGGGCGCGAAAGTGAGGAAAAGGAATCAGAACTCGACAGAATGACAATGATTGATCGAATCTCCCGTTGGAAATTGAGTATTATTATTTAAAAATTGGTGAATGAGCATGTTTTCATGCATCTTTTTTTCTGACAGATCCTTCCAAGACCGACAAAGAAAGCTGTGCGTCTTTTAACCTGATGAAGGCCAGGCCAGAACCCTAATTTTCGGCACTTCAAGTGAAATTGGCTAACTTCAAGGGCCAGACTCGATCTCTCGAATGGAGAATGGACATGTTAATACCTAAGGAAAAAGGAAATTATTTTGACTGTGACTTTTATTTAGGCTTCGAGAAAACTTCAAAGTAATATGTCGTAATGAATACACAAGAGAACAAACAAGAACTTGACGTGACATGTGAAGACAAAATTAACTGTGCATATATGTGCAACACAGGGAATTCTGGACTACCGTACATAAAGAAGACGGAAAACAGTTGAATTTGTACTATGGAATGCACCTATGAAACAAGGAAAACAACTTTAAGATTATAATTACAAAAAAAAATTCCTTGGCTGTCAAATAAAATGAAGCCAGGGAAATGTGGCACGACGAAAAGGCTCAATCTGAAGGGAGCAGAAAAGGAATGTCAAGGTTGGTTTCTACCCCTTAAACTTTTTTTTGAGAGGAAATAAAAAGAGGGCATCCTTCCCAGTTGAAAAGGAAGCGAATCCTGAAGTTGACGACAGCGAAGTCGTAAAAGTCCCAAGAGCCATCACCTGCGGCCGTCACGTTGTCGGGGGAAGAAAGAACTCGAAGCCAAACGCAACGGACGAAAGGAGAAAGCCCGCGATCAAAAGGAGGAATGGGCTCTGGAGGTGCTCCAGGGACAAGGGCACTGAACCGCGGAGTTTCCCGCCGTCTCGTGTGGCTTTCAGAGTGACGTTCATGATCCTGAGATTCGTGCGAACGGTCTCTTCGAGAGCATTTTCTCACCACTGCTGAATCAAGCCCGATTCCACCATCTTAACTATGTACCAATCAATCGCTTCCTTTAATCCCTTGAGTCCCTTTCCTATCACCCAGGTTACAGGCTTGCAAAAGAAGGCGGAAGGGCTGGCGCAATAATCCATCATCCGATCGTATCCCAGAGCCCAGACGTTGCTTGCATAGTCGATGAGGGCGAAGGAGTCGGTCATGGCGTTGTCGAGCGGGAGATGATGTTTCCAGGCCTCGTCGTGATGAAACCAATTCATCCTGTCGGCCAAGGCCATCAAGGCCGGGTCCCCGGATTCTCGGAATTGCATCTCGATTCCGTTTCCGAAGTCTACTATTCCCCATTCATAATCGGTATTCACTAAATCCACCAGACCAGACCAGACCCATTCGGGTCTGGTCTGGAATCGAGGGAGGACGAGAAACGACACCAGACTACTCGTGAACGACGTCACCAGGATCATGACGTAATACCAGGTGAATACGAGGAGGATTCGACTGGGGTTGACACTGCTCAGTCTCGTTTGAATGCTCTGAGCTGTGTGTATCCGACAGAAAAGAAAGAGGGCATTCCAAAACCCGATGCGTTCGAAGAGGAGACCGAGGATTAGACTTGCCAAGACGAGGATTCCGGACGTGGAGATTCACACTGTCCAATTCCAGGGTTGAATAACTTTCATCCAACTGGGGTAAGGTTGCGGGGGTCTGGTGAGGAATGTCATGCATTCGGAGGAGAAGGGAAAAGAATGATCCATGTTCGAATGATGAAACCGTCTCCAATAAAGCGCGATGTCCGAGAATGCCACATGAACGGATCCGTCATCGACGAGACCCAGGAGTCCCGTCCACGTCCCATTCTCCATCCTTTTCCCCCACAAGCCATCCTTGGGCAAGACGAACTCCACAGAGACGTTCATTTTCCGGGAAACTTCCTTGAGAATGGATCCTTCCAGCCCTCGTAATATCTCCAGACTAGATGGTGTCTCGTTGTGGGCATCCCAGCTGATGAATGGGGGATAACTCAATGTACCCACACGAATGACTTGACCCTGGAAATCCCACGGAGGCCCACGACTTCCGCTTGTGAGACGGCACGAACGAGAAATCCCAGCCAATCCCTGCACAACGAGAACGGGCAAAAA